AGTTTGAGCCTGCACTTGAGCTTTTAGCTCCCCGCAAGCAACTCTGACACAGTTGACGTCGCCTTTGAGGCACTCCAATGCCTCCGCCTTCCTCTGCAACTAATACGGCAAAAGGGGTTAGCCTTAAGGTTAGAAAGGAGCGAAACACGTACTATAGAAAGTTGCCTGCTCTATCAAATAACTCTCATAGTTTGAGCTCTGGTGCACCTCATATCGCCAATGCTATAGCTCAACTTCCTTCTCCTCGCTGAGGAGCCAAAGGGATTCACCCTCATCCAAAATTTTCTGAAGCTTGGAACCTTGACGGAGCAGCTCAGACCTAAGCCTATCACAGGCCTGCACAAGGAAGGTTCAATAGAGGGAGTAGGATACGGGGCACAGGGAAACTATACATAAACTCACCACAAAGTGAAGCCAACGAACTTTCTTGAAGTCAGAACACACTCCTGTTGATCTTGCCCCTGTGGCCCCAGAAGAACCGACCTCGAGCACGGCGTATTCGCTCAAAGGAACCGCCGGTCGGGGATCAAGCACTCCGAGAGCAGTGGACCCGGGCGACGCCCTTTCCTCGAAAATGTGAGCCCGACCAGCACCATTAAAGGTTCCATCAAAACCGGGGGTGCCTCATCCCAAAGAACCGCCCGATATCTGCAAATGGCGAATCCAGCACAAATGGAAGGGCAAAATATTACCTCGGATATGCAAAGTCAAGGCAAAGGCTGCATATGCACATACTTTGGTACTGTGCTCCCCATCCGGTACGAAGTACAGCTCGCCACCTACGCTCGTCGCAGGATAAATGGGTCACCAGCTTTCGGACCCAGCCAGGCAGATCATGGACTTCACCCGGCATCCACGAAGTTGCTACAACAAGGGAAACAACATTATTACTCAGTTGATTTTTGCTATAGGCGAAACCTGAAAAAGCGCCAAATGCCTCACCCACGTGCATAATTCTACCCTTCGGGAAATGGCAAAAACTCCACAGGGATAATGTCGGTCGTCCGGACCCGGATAAACCAACTGGCCCACTCTTGATCCCCGTTTTCCTTGTCATCAATAACAAAGGGCGTGGATGAGCGACATCTCAGAGTTAGCATGCCTCGACGACAAGGTGATCAAACGTGAATTCAAGCCCGGCCTTCTCCGCGAAGAACCTCATCACCAATGCCGTTTGCCAAAATGACAGATGAATCTGTGCCAAGGTAACCCGATACTTCAAGAAAAAATCAAGTACGACCCTATCAGGGGGGCCAAATGCGAAAGGGTATAGGTATACACTCAAGAATCCATAGGTGGAGTCCGCAATGCCCTCATCTGGGGAAAGCACCTGCAGTGTTATCCCCTCACTCCACCCGCAGTATCTCCTCGCCATCTCCAGGTGTTCCCGTCTAATCCTTTTGCTGCCGCAAGGCTGGCTAATCGTACGCAGCAGGCTCGAATACCCCTGGTACTCTTATCAAGGATGTCGTATCTAGAGCGAACTCCCTTGGTTCCTGAGCACCAAGAGTAGCACCCCCCATCCCCTGCCAGATCGGCCCTGAAGTGGTTTTCATGACTATGGTGAAACTAACAGGTCAAAGCAAGCGCGCGCACCAACGCTTTTTGTACCTAAAGAGATGAAATACCCCGTGCCAAAGCAGAAAGGCGGCTATCTAAAAATAGTGAAGTCTTGCAAAAAAGCCGAAGCCGCCCCATATATATGTGAGAATCAGTGACGATTCGCCTGCTCGAGGCAAGCCCCGGGAAGCCAACAGCCTCGATACAGATCGACGGGTTAATACCCGATCCAGAAATCATCCTTCAACAAGGAGTCAAGACTCGAGGGGCCGTTCGTATTATCTCCGAGCTCAAGATAACACTCTACGTCAAGAACCCCTGGCCCAAAGAAGTCGAACTTCGGGAAGCTTTAAACGCCAACACTTGATGAAAGGCAAGTACCTGGTCTCGTGATCCCCTCTTTCTAAAAAGAGGAATAAACATAGGAAGCTCCAATCACGAAAGCTCCACAAAGGTCCGAGGAAGCACCCGAATACAGGCAAACTCCTCAGCAGAAGTCTATCCTATACATTCTAAAGGGCTTATCTACATAAAGATCAATAAGGCCCCCCAGGTACCCGAAGATGACCTTCATCCAGGGTAACATTTCTGAAGGCCCCAAAATTTGACGAATGATCTCCCTACAACTCGGAGGGCCTTGATAGCCTGGACCTATCAGATCAATCCAAGATTGGTCTGAAGTATAACGATGGGTTTGGATGAGAGCTACGCCGATTAGCAGAAGACCAGGACGGACGCCCACACCCAAGCCTGATATCAGTAGCCAGCAAGCAAAAGAAAACGTTTAAAGGGCCCCGAAGGGAATGAGTAGCGATGCATAATCCAAACATCTATCTACACAAAGGAGAAATCGACTCCCCGTCCATCATCACCTCGGCCCAGCAGTAGCAGCAAAAGCCAGCATACCGACGACCGCAACAATAGCAGAAAGGCACGTTTACGTTCGATGAAAGGAAACTCGGCAAATGGCCACAACACAGTCTAAGGAAACTCCTCCAAACAGCCTTAAGGTCATGAGCCCCTAGCATGATGTTCATGGGTGAAAGAAGTTGATAAGAAGGGAAAGGCAAGCGAGTCAACGGAAGCACTGGGGTAGGAAGAGCAATGCCAAGGCACCCCCATTTATAAGAGATTACGACACGGTCATCTAGGCTTTGGAAGGCTGACCGATGGATGCAGTTAATGCATCCATAGAAAATCGAACTGGCAGTAGTACCTTCACCTTGAAAACAAGAATCAGGAGTGCAATGAATGAAGTTGAAAACCACGAGCCTGTGGATGTCCAATCACCGTGAAGCTCATGCCAGGAGTCGCATCATCGATATGGCGTCGCCAAAAGAAGCTTGAGGAGTCAAGTGTCAGAATCATTTCCCATCATTTCCCATTTCCCATATCGAGGAGTCAAGACTTGATTTCTCGCTGTTAGGACATTTTAGAAGCATGCCTTGGGACCCTGAGGGAGGAGGCCGCGACCAAGTTCCTTACCTTGAGGCTTGTCGAAGCCCGACTCGGAGGAAACAAAGACCGAATCCAGGACAGAGGGGGAATCCCCCAAGGCACATGGCTACGTCTGATAGGCCCAGCATATCCAGAGCCTATATTGAGGCATCACGTCAAACCATCCCATCTCTATACTTTGTGTTTAATCTCCGCATATTTGTACCATGCCGTATTCCCTCGCCTATATAAGGGGAACCCATACCACTTTATAAATGGCTGATGTTGCTCCATTTCTCCACTAAAGCAATAATCTCTCTCTCTCTCTCTCTCTCTCTCTCTCTCTCTCTCTCTCTCTCTCTCTCTCTTTCTCCTATTTTGTTCGTTCTCACTGGCTTGAGGTCGCTTTAACATCTATTGTCTTCTTACTTCATGCTATATTGCGCAACTTTGGCCGTAAAGAGCCTTGCTTGATCATATACTTAATTGTTATCCTATTCTCGATTGCCCCCGATAACTCGAGCTCGATTCGATTCCCGACCCCGAGGTCCTTATCGACCGGCTTTGCATCCGGGCAACATGCCCCTTTAGTTTGGTTACTGCCTTTTTTTACCCTGCATTTCATCGTTAAACTTAGCATTCTTAGCATTAACTGCTCTAACAACTAGCTCGAGAATAGATCACGTATTTTTAGAATCCCATTTACAAATTTAATTGTTGTTACCATTTTCACAGTAAACAAAACACATCTTTGAATTCGAACAAAAGTTGGATCAATGCATCCCTAGTTCTTTCATCCGTATGAATGCTTATCATGGTTTCTTGGACCTCTTCAGAACTATCCAAATTAACCGGCTTGGTTTCATTTAGATTTGTCTTAGGCTTATTCTCAAATTGTTCCAATTCTTGACTTATTTCCCTAAAAGCCTCTTCTTCATCATATCCTGGTTCTTGATTCATTATTTCACAATTAGACAGCATGTTTGGATCTTGGCATGAAGTCCGCAAGCATGTCATGTTATTTAAAGCCGCATTATTAGAATTGAAAGAAGAAATAAGAAAAAGTAACTAAAATCAGAAAGAATGAAGAGAGAGATTCATGAATAATGAAATATTGATTTCATTTCATTAAATTTTGAAGATAACAGGGTTTATATTGGAATTTAAAGACAATAAACTAAAAGAAACATCCGAGTTACACCCTGGAATAACTCGTGATGTAGAAAAGGTGGCAAGACTGGACTACCGGGATTCCCGCCTTACTGGGAACGGAGTAGCCTTCTAGTTTTGCAATTTGGGATTGGGCCCCATATACAGCACCTCAGCGGTGCTCGAGCCTTTTTTCGGCTGGACCATGTGGGTTTCATACAACATCTGCCTTATAGCTCCACATATTTCTTCAATTTCTTCGGCCATGAAGGCCTCATCTTCCTCTTCTGTGTACTTGGGCTTGACGAATATTTCGAAAAAATGTGGGATTGGCTGAGGCAAAACCCAACCATTGCTCTTTCGCTTATTTGCCCATGTTTCATCAGCTGGCGTGGCCTAAAAACACACACCAAAGAACTTCTCGCTAGCAGCCAAAGTGATAAGTTCTATGTTACTTTGTAATGATGTCCCGAGCCCCTTTCTAGGCTTATAACCATGCCTGATCATTTCCTTGGCAACCATAATTGACGCATTTGAGAGAAAAGGTTGAGGACACGGGATTCCTTCTTCACATTGGTCTGTGACCACAACCTCGAAAGCTTGATAGACTATATGTTCGCTACCTTCCCTAGCTTCCAGACATGGGACTGATGGGTCCCGCAAAATTGATTGATCGTCCTCTCCATGGTCTACGATCTCCTGATCTTCATATTCAAATTTTACCATCTGGTGGAGAGTGGAAGGTACGACCCCCGCCGCATGAATCCAGAATCTTCCCAAGAGGAAATTAGAAGAAGTGTCCATTTCTAGGACCTAAAATGTCACCTCGAAATCCACAGGACCGATAGTCAAAATCAAATCGATCTCACAATGATGTCTCTCTTGATGCCATCAAAGGCACGCACACAGATATTGTTAGGCCTGATTCTCTCAGTCCCAATCTCCATTCTTTGCAAAGTTGAGAGGGGGTAGATATCAACTCCGGATCTGCCATCCAGCATGACTCTCTTCACATAGTACCCCTCATATTTAACTATCAAATGAAGGGATTTGTTGTGGGCAGCCCCTTCCGGGGGCAAATCATTCTTGCTAAATGAGATCTGGTTGATTGCGAAGAATCTTTCTGCCATCCTCTCCAATTGTTCAACAATGGTTTCAATCGGAACATAAGCTTCGTTGAGGGTTTTTATCAACACTTTCTGATGCTCGGTTGAGCTTACCAGTAGAGACAGGAGTGAGACCTGTGAAGGAGACTTCCGGAGTTGGTCTATTACCTCATAGTCCGTAGTTTTCATTTTACGAAAGAATTCTTTGGCCTCCTCAGCATTGACGGGCTTCTTGAGTGGGAAATGCTTCTTCTTGGCTTTGTTCAAATCCTCCAAGTTAAGGTATTTCTCTGCTGGGTTAGTTTCATTTGCTTCCCCTACAATTTCTTTCCCTTTGTATGTCACAATTGCTCTGTTATAGTTCCAAGGGACTACAGTGGGGTATTTCATAGGCCTTTGTGGTGCGCGGCTAATGATCACGGGCTCGCTCAACCTGGGTGGAATTACTGGTCTCCGCGCCACATAAGTCCCTTTGCGTACATACATCTTGGGTCCCTTGTTCAGCTCGAACCTCTTAGGAGGGCTCAACACCAATTGTTCTTTCCTGTGAGCTCGGGGAACATAAAGAATGGCGTCTTTAAGGGGTACTGCCCCTGTTTTGGTTTCCACAATCTTTTCTTCACTTTGGGGAGCGGAGTTACTCTTCTTCTCCCCTTTATCTTGCTTTGCGGCGGCCTTTGGCTTCTTTTCCACATCGGCGATGGCAATGATAGCTTTTAGAGCTGGGTCAAACTCTTTATCTTCAGAAATCATCCCAATAAGTAGCCCGTTGTTGTGAGCCGGCAATGGGTTGTTGGTCATATTGGGGATCTCTTCATCTTTCAGCACTACCCTTTTTTGCTCTATCAAGTTTTTAATTGCCCTTTTGAGAGTCCAACAGTCTTCAGTGTCATGCCCTTCCACCCCAGAATGATAAGCGCATCGGGTACCAGGTCGGTAGGAAGGTGACTCTAGGTTTTGTCTATTCGGGGGTAAAGGTTGTAGCAAACCCATTTGGACCAGTTTAGGGAAAAGTCTAGAATATGACTCACCAATAGGCATGAAGTTTGTTCTCATGGGTGGCTCCCGAGCACGGGCATTTTAGGGGAAGTTATTTTGTGGAGGTGGAGGATTATACTGAGCTTGGTGAGGAAGGTTATTTCTATGAGGTGGAGCTTTGTTTTGGTTAAACTGTTGTTGTGGCCGAGCGTATGGCTAGGAGTTCATAACCACATAAGGCTAGGAGGCCATAGCATAAGCCACATCCTGCTGGGGGTAATAATGTTGCGGGGTGCTTGGAGAGAAGTAACTTCTGGGTGGACGGGGGTTTCTCGGACCTGAAGCCGCCATTGCCACTTCTTCCTTCTTCTTTCTGTTCGCTACACATCCGGACTCGCTTTGAATTGCTTGGGATGTAGCTCTTATGGCAGATTGGCTCAATATGCGCCCTATTTTCAGACCAGTCTCGACCATCTCACCAATCTTGATGGCCTCAACAAACGGTTTCCCCATTGCAGACATCTTATTCTGAAAGTAATGAACCTCTAGGATTGTAGAAAAACACTCACCATTTCTATTTCATCCATCGGGGGCTTAACCCTGGCCGTTTGTTCGCGCCATTTAACAGCATATTCTCGGAAACTTTCCGATGATTTCTTCTTGAGATTCGACAGAGAATTCCTGTCGGGAGCTATGTCTATGTTATACTGAAACTGCCTGACAAAATCTCGAGCCAGATCATCCCAAATATTCCAACGAGATATGTCTGGATCCATGTACCACTCGGATGCGATTCCCACTAGACTTTCTCCAAAATAAGCCATTAGGAGCTCCTCTTTTCCACCTGCCCCTCTTAATTGATTGCAATACCTTTTGAGGTGGGCTATGGGGTCCCCGTGCCCATCATACTTTTCGAACTTGGGGGTCTTGAAACCCAGGGGAAAATGCACATGCGGGAACATACATAGATCGGCGTAGGATACACTCTTTTGTCCGCTCAAACCTTGTATATTTTTTAGGCTCTGTTCCATGCTCCTCATTTTCTGGGTAATTTCCTCTTGCTATGGGTTCTTTATAGCCTTCTCCTGTCCCGCGGTAAACTCGTACCGGGGTTGTTGAGGGTAAGAATTGGTGGTGAAATGAGTAGGTTCTGGTGGAAAAGATGGTACTTGGAAAGTGAAGGATGATGGATCAAAGCATGGCCTGGGCAAAGTCGGCTGCACCGCAGCCGAGGTTGGTGGTGCGGTAAATATGTTGAAGGCCACTCCCGAAATCACCTGGGGGCGAACCTCAGAAGGTGTTCCGGTGAAGTGAGCTGAGATGGTAGGGTATCCAAGTGGGATATTTGGGTAATTTATTAGGACGTTGGAATTTCCACTTGCTCTGGGAAGTAGCTCGGGGAAACCGGGTATGGAACTTGGCGGCTCTCTACCATTTGACCAGGCGTCTCACATTTCCAGCACGTGGAGGCACAATGCCCTATTCTCTTCAGCTGCCGCTGACTCTGAGGTTGGGATAACCGATAGTGGGCTATCCTCTGGGATGGGAATTGTTGGTGGATGGCCTTCCGACGACATTTCTACACTGCCCTTAGATCTTGTAAAGTATGGGTGTGAAGACAGGTTACCACAAACCAACCACCTTAAAAATAGGACCTATACTCAACAGTAGACAACAAACCGGTTAGTTTGAAGTAATTAACACATAGGGAATCACACATTGGGGGTGTGATGTACCTATACAGTTAAATGTGTTTTTACATATTTTGCAACGATTGCATGTCTCATCCTAGCTTTTGTTTATCTCCCCGATCTTTCTCTTGCTCTCTTCTGCATTCTTATTTTCCCTATTATCCTCTTTTCCTTGTTTTCTCTCTTTTCTTTTTGGTTTTTCTTTTTGGTTTTTTCTTTTCCACATTTTCTCTTTTATTTTAAAAATCATGACCTGATCCGATAAGGATTGTCTACGTATCACAACGCCGCGTGAATCAGATCATCACGTAGTTCAAGGAATAAATGCAAAATAAAAAAGTTTTGGTTTTTTTTTCAAATTTTCATTAAAACAAGACTTCTAATTTCTCTTTATTACAAAGACTCGAACCTACATACTTGAGAATTGAAAACTAAAACAGACTCGAAACAAACTTTAGGAATGAAAATACAGACTCGAACAAGAGAAAACAATCAGGAGTACATCAATGCCTCCAATCCTGCTCTAGGAACACCAACTGGTCATGCTGCGGGCCTATGCGCCATGTCATCCTGGAGGTGATAGAGATCATCCATTATCTGGAAAACAAAGATCATGACCGTGGAGAAGAACATGGACCTGGTCGTGTCCTCTCACTCGTTGCACTTCATCACAATGTAGTCGGCAATTCTTCTAACCCTTTCCCTAATGATGCCCTTTTCTTGCAACAACCGCCCAATCTGCTGAGATCTAGCCTCCAAAACCCGGGTGGCCATATGATTCTGTTCTTTCAGATGCTATAGGTCTCCCTCTAGCTGTGCCATTAAAGTGTAGAAATGTTCCCTCTCAGCCTTGAAGCTCTTAGCTTGTTTAGTCATTTCGCCCTCAAGGCTATTAAACTCCTTTTCCAACCCATGAACCCTCTGTCATATCTTTCCTTCAATTGTCGAACGAAATTTGCCCGCTCTTCTGCATTTTTGGCCAACTTTGTTCATACTTTCACTAGCTCAGACTCAGTCTTTTGCAAATCATCCTCAAAGTCATGTACTTTTTGCGTAAGGTTGTAGATGAGCCTTTCATCTTTTCTACTTCTGCTCGGGTTCTCAGCTGCTATTCCCATTTTTTGAATTTGGGCCCGGAGAGCTTCATTTTCTTGGACCAACCTTCTTCTTTCACCTTCAACTTCTTGTGCCTGTAGATCGTTATTGAATACAACGTTTCTAAATTCCTCTTACAAAGCGTGAATGGTGGCTTGATATTTTTTCTCCTTCTCTCCTCAAGCCAACCTTTCCCGAATTTTATCATCAAAAGCTTGAACATGTGGTCTCTTGGCGGGCCTTTCAGGCTCTGGCTCATCATTTGCACAAAACCTTCTCTCAAACCACGCAACATAATTTGGATCCACTTCCCCTCTCACAAGATCCGGTACCTGGGTGTCACTTTTCAGATATCGGCAACCATTCCAATCTCGTTGGACTAAAGCCTCAGGTAGTGTTGCTTCTAGGTGTAGCCCAATGACTTGGGTACTCAAATCTACATCTTCGGCTACCACTTGATACCTTCCCAGTTGCCTTAGAACTCTTTGCGGTGCATATGGTTGGATACTCCTCAGGCCCATCATCACCAAGTGGAATTTTGAAGTTGTCATGTATATGACTTCTGTTACCAGAAGCCACCCTAGAGTCCATTCAATTTGACTTGCCTTTAGAGTCCTTAAATGGGAAACCCAAGCCTCACAACCTTCTAGAGTTTTGTAATCTTTTACCCTCTCCTCATGACTATTTATGAAGTTTTTCCCGTCTGCATCGTAACTCATGAACTTGGGGTGACGGCGGAGATGTTCGATCAACCATATTTGAAGAAGAATGTTGCAACCCTCGAAGAATTGAGCCTCAATTTTATACAATGTCAATGCACGATAAATGTCTGCTAGAACTAACGGAACACGTGTGTGATCTTTCTTGGTAGTTAGGAGTTGTGCAATTCTGGCCATGTGAGTGTCTATTGTCCCTTCCGCATTTGTAAAGACCATGATCCCCAAAAATTCCACGATAAAAGCGAACCGACGATGAATTTTCCAGGTGCTCTTATCTTGTTTGTTGTTTAACCCTTTTTCATGTGTTTCAAAACCAGCTAAATGCCCGAACCTGAAGTATAAGAAGTAGAAAGAACAACATCCTTTGCTTACGTGAGCCTTCTTCATTTGTTTACTACTATTCAGAAGATCGAAGAACTTATGCACAGAGGGAGCCATTGGGAATATGAGCTGTTGCTTCCTCAAGTCTTGGCCAAAGTCAATGTATACGGCCGTTTCCTCCAGAGTAGGGGTGAGCTCGAAATCAGAGAAACGGAACACGTTGTGGACATGATCCTAAAAGGTTACAAAGGCTTTGATCAAATCCTCCCGGGGTTTGATGCTCATGAATTTTATAAGGGAACCCAACTGCTTTTTCACCCAATCCTGGCCATCTTTATCTAAATTATTCCACCACATGCGAAGCTGCAACTGAGCCCGTTTTATGATAGATTGTAACTGGTTCTGAACAACATTTATTTGTGAGGGGTCCTGGACAATATTCATTTGTGAGGGGTCCTGGACAATATTCATTTATGACGGGTTCTGGGCAGTATTCATTTGTACATGCGGAGGGTTAAGGTTAGGGTTGACTCTTGTAGACTCTTTTTTACAAAATAAGTTTTCAATTTCTAAAGAAAATCAAAGGACAAAGACCCCTTTTATGCTACTTTAGCAAAAATGGTCGTTTTTGCAAACGTGGCCACTTCGCAATTCCAAACAAATTTTGAGGTCTGGGGAGGATATTTTATTGGAAAATACACCTTTCAGACAGACTTTCTTGTTCTTCCTGAAAATAGCCTTTCGACAATTAAAAGGTAATCTAAGGCTATTCCGGTAAGAACGACTTAAAATACAACCGAAGCTGGGTCAGCTTATTGTTTTGACCAAAGCCCTAAACTACACTTTACTCGATTATTTTTTTTAAAAAAATGAGGCCGAATCTTATGTGGGTTACCTACGTATCCCACATCCGGTGAGAATCAGACCTGCGCAGTTCAGTCAATTTTAACATAAAAAAACATGATATCTGACTCACTTTTTTTTTGAAATATATTTTCTTTCTTTTTTACAAAAATTTTGGCAGAGTTTCGAGGCATTTTCAAATACCAGGGTTTTTAGAACCGGGTAAATTCTCTATCCTAGCTCACTCTTGGTTTTTCTCTTTATTTCCTTTTCCTAGCCAGGTAACATGCAAGCCGAAACAAAAAAATATTTATATAGCACGTAGGATGCATCAGGATGGTCTTTA